TGGCTGGTGCCTTAGCTGATTGAGCTACAGGCGCCGAGCCGTGGCTAGCATCTTCTTAGGGAAGCAGAGAGGGAAGAGAGCACTCCCCAGAACCTGACCTGCACCTGGTCTGTGCCTTTCCATCCTCCAGAACTATGAGATACATTCACCTTGTTCCAGCCACTCAACCTGAGCTGGCCAAGACACTGCAGGACTGACCCAGGAGCCAAAATCCAGACAGGCCTTTGAGGGAAAAGCTGCTAATTGTTTTGAAAGTTTGTGGGAGGGTTGATGGAAGTATTGTTCACTTGCTAGGTAGGTCAGAAAGCATAGTAAAGTTCTGGCAGAAACAGTCAGGTGTGGGTTCTGTTTTAAAGATGTTTTTGATGCTCTTCATTTTCTCCTAAATGGAGAAAATAATGCTCTTAAATACTGTTTTTCCTCAGAAGTTGGCTGCAGTCTGCAACCTGTGGTGTGGGCTTCCTAAAGCAGCAGGGCCCTTGACCCTGGGGTCAAGAGGCAGGTGACCTGTGATCTGATCCAGGGCAGGTGCAGGGCAGGACTTGACTGAGGAGGTGAAAGAAGGGATGGGGACCAGGCTGTCTGGCTGAATGCTCCCATGAAGGGGCAACACACATCGACCTACCTGGGCATGGGGCTAGGATTCCCCTGGGTCTGTAAACACCTGTCCCAGGGCCTTGGCCCTGGTGAGTGCCCTACCTGGATGCTTTCTGGTGCCACAGGCCAGCTCTTCCTGCTCACTCAGCCCTGACTCCCAGCATCCACAGCCAGCTTCGAGACACAGTCATCTCATTCTCAAGCTGGTTTATTCCTTAGTTTGTTGGTGGTGTTCAGAACCCTGACCTGGAGGGCAGAGAGGTGCCCATGCCAGTGACCACACCCCTTCATCCCTGAAGCCCAGAGCCCCACTCAGAACACTACTCCTCCCAGGTCTTCCCCTGGGATCAGAGGGCGAGTGTCCCTCCGCTCCTTGCCTTCAGAAGGCTCTAGCACAAAGATGGGCATTTCCTCCCAGCTTCGTGGTCATCAGCCCTCCCCTGGCAGTGCCTTTCCTATTGTCCTCTGCCTCCCACCCCCCACCCCGACCGCTGTGCTCTGCTGCCTGAGCCCTGCCTCGGGGTGCGGGCCTGCCTCCAGAGCCCCCCCCCCAGGTACCGCAGGGACCACGTGGCTCGCCTAGGAAGCCCTTTGGCTGAGGCTGCCCAGTGCAGCCACGTGGACTCCAGCCCACGGTTAGGTCCCCAGGAGCCGTCACCCAAAGTGTTGCCAGCGGTGGTGGCAGGGTGACCTCGTGGACGCGGCCCCTGACTGTCTCCAGCACCATCCGGAGAAGATAGAAAGCTATTTGTGCTGGGCGTCCCTCCAGAGAGCCCTGCAGCATCCCGAGGGGCCCCCATGGCCAGGTACAGGAGAGCTGGGGGTGGGGGAAAGGTCTTCCAGGAGGCCGTGTGAGGGTCGCGACAGATAGCTCCGGACTTCCCTGCTGGCGGGCAACCACAGTCATGTCAACTGTCCGCAGCCCACTTGCTCTGGGGTGACCGCTGGGGGCGGGAGGCGGGGGAAACTGCCCGCAGCACAAGTTTCATGAGCGGAGATTCTGCAGACCGAGCTTCCCACGCGCCGCGCCGGGTCCGCACCAACCCTGGCTCCTGAGGACGTTCCAGCCACAGGGACGCTTATCTGTAGGTGTCTCTGTGCAATCACCAGCCGCGCTCAAGATTGCGATCCGCGTGGGAGGCGACCCTCTGCGCAGCCGCGGGCCTGGGCGCTGCAGGGCAAATGCCTCGGGTTTGGTGACCGGAGGCCCAGTCGAGGAAATGTGGGCCAGCTGCAGC